CTGATCAAAACTCCAACATTTATCAGATCATGCAGTGAAAATAAAAAAGATTAAAAACGTTCAGAACAAACAAAGAATCAGAGACGTCGCTGTTTACAAATGTGTTTGTTTGTTTACATGTTTTCATTTGAATCTCTGGCCCCTCCCACATCTCCTCCTCCTGCTTCCTGTCATTTGCACTCCTTCCTTCCTCCTTTGCTTTCTTTCCTACACTTTCTCCTCACGCCGTCACCACCCCTCCCTGCCTCCTTTATGCTCCTCCTCCATCAGGTGTGAGTGATTCTTCAATCTGAGCGTCTGCAGCACGGAGACGAGAGCACTGCTGGACGTTTTTCCTGTCGCTGGATCCAATCAGAGAGCGAGCTCAGGTTCAGAGGTCAGGGAGTCACATGGCGCTCCTACGAGCCAATCAGAGCGCAGCACGAGGAGGGCGTGTGCCGTGTCTCGGCCCAACCGCAGCAATAAATCGGTGACCTATTAAAGGTCACGCCGCGTACGTGACGAGCACCGTCTCCGTCACGCTCGAGGCCGTGATCCTTTCACAATAAAAGCTGGTTGAGCGTCTGCTCGTGCGTTTGTGCTCAGACCTGCTTCTCCATCAGGACGCGACATTTGTCCGCCTCCTCCTGGTACGTCTGGTGGACCTTGTCCCACTCCGTTTGGTAAAAACTGGTCAGCCTGTCGCAGAGAGGAGCGTGAAACAGGGTCAGTCTGAACGGCGTGCAGGAGGAGAAGGCTCCTGGACGTGAGGAGAGCGTCCGTCCTACCTTTCCTCCAGCTGTGCCAGCTCCTCCCGGTGCTGCTCCCGCAACGTCGTCAGCGCTTCCTCGAAGCCGACGCGCGCCTCCTGCTTCTCCTTCTGCAGACGCTCGCAGCACTGCGACGACGCCACTGCAGGAGAAAGCAGAGCAGCAGGAAACAAGTTTGCTTTAATGAGTCAAAGAACAGATGCAGAAAAATCTGAAAGAAACTAAAAACGTTTTCTTAACGAGAGACGAAACTGATCCGGGGTCAGCGTCTGCTGAAAAGGAAGCAATGAAATGGTTTGGAACCAGCTGTTTGTGGCCAGATGTGGATCCTGCTCTGACTATTTTACCCATGAATCACGCCGGAGCATCCATCACGTCACGTCAGTGCCGACACGCCTGGGGCGGCGATTCTTCAGCGAGTAAAGAAGGACGCGCCTTCAGCCACATTCCACTTTAATTATTCAGAGAGACCAAACATCTGCATGTCAGCGCGCAAGTACGCGGCGGGAATCACTCCTGGCGACTCATCTCAACCCTCGCAGGCTCACGCACGCCTCCAGCCTCCGCCCGCCACCACACACGCCAGTTTGATTCCACGCCAACCTGAAACATTTTAATAAAAGCGAGAGCTCTCTGCACGCTGAGCAGCCTCGGCGATGACAGCAGCGAGTGTGAACAGCTGGCTGCAGCTGGAGCAGTTGGCGTTCCCTCTGAATGGAGCGTCTGTCGCTCCGGTGAAGGAAACAAAGCCTGCGACAGCTGACGGCGGCGCACACACGGGA